CAGACTCTTCTTTACAGAGTGAAAGAGAGCAATTAGTGTTTTTGTAAAACATGGAAACTAATGAATGAAGTAACAAGTTAATTTAAGGACTCAGGAGGATAACAGTTAACTTTAACGCCTCCATTTACCTGTAATAAAATAACACAGGACACTGTTAGATGTATCTCAAAGATGAAAATAATTTAATCTGTAGTTTGCCCATAATGGCCATACATTTTTACAACCGTTTTATGTATATGGGTGTTTTGCTTACATGTATGTGTACCACATGTGTGCCGGGCACCCAGGAGGCCAGTAGAGAGCAATGGATCACCTACAACTGCAGTTAGAGATGGTTGTGAGCTGCCTTGGGGGTGCTGGGAATTGAACCTGTGTCTTCTGATAGAGTAGCTTATGTTCTTAATGGCAGAGCCATCTCTCCAGGCCCCTTGACACTTTACATATTATTTTTTATTATTTTTATTTATGTGCCTGAGTGAATTTATGCTGCATGCCACTGGGTACTTACAGATGCCAGAAGAGGGCACTGGAGTCCTTGGAGCTGGGGTTATAGGTGATTATTCAATGTGGGTGCTAGAAATTGATTTCTAGGGTCCTCTGCAAGAGCAGCACATACTCTTAACTATTGAACCATTTCTCCAGTCCCTAGTCCCTGATATATTTTGATTGAGTAAAGAAAAAGAGGCATGTATTAAGGCCTGACTTATTGAAGATGTTTGGCTGCTCTGCTTCCATCACATCACAGAATCACAAAACCTGGCCATTTAGTCATTTACTTAACTGAGTGATTCTCAAAGTGAGATATGGGGACAGACAGAAAAGCTATATCACTTAAGGGAAAAATTTCTAGAAATACAGCTTTCCCACAAATCCTTCTGGCATCCCCACACATCTCCCTGAGAATGCCTACCCTAACGTTGCTCATAGCATGCCTGTCAGGGTGGGGAAGACACCCACCTACGTTTACTCGAGATGCACTAAAAGATTTGCATATAACAGCATGGGCCTTTCAGTAACAAGTCTCTATGGGAAAGAGTGGTTTACAAAGATTGTATCTCAAAAGGAGAGAGGTCTCTAGAATAAAATGCCAGGGGAGTTGATTTTTGTTAACATTATTGCTAAATGCCTTATACTTAACAGTGTGATCATTTGAAAATACTCTGCAATGTGAGGTTTAAGGCACAATGAGTCCTAATTAGTGTTTTAATAAGTGTGTTAGCACTGTCTTGTACCATTCTGGAATGTCACTTATGGTAAATTAAGGGACACTTTCCCTCCCTATCTTCCATTAGTATTTTAATGCTAGGAGGTGGGAAAAGGCTGATCCATATTCAATAGGAAAGGAGGGAGAACAATAACAAATTGGCATCTCTTCTGTGAATTGCCCCACAGGCCAAGCATTTTTATGTTCTTAATCATTATTAAATGACTTAACATGACACCCAGAGCCTGGCGAATGATTGCATCCTGACATGAGAACGAATTACAAATGAAATGAAAGATCAAGCTGTATTAGAGAACTGCCTCTGGGAAATGAAAATCTTTAATTCTCTTTTATTATTGACATTTATTTGGCTGCCATGAATAACAACACAGCAAAGAGATTCAGCTACGCTTGTGCACTGAATAGCTTATCCCAGGGCTCAGAACTGCATTAACATTTATCATGTTTGCTTTTGTAGCTGACACCACTGAACAGATTCTCTATCCATCTTGAATTTATCATGCATCGCAATATACTGCATCCTCTAAGTTCATTTTCATATGGCAGGAACAGCAAGATTAGCTAGTGACTTGTCTCAAATTCCTGATTATAAGCATTCTAAAGAGTGCTTTAATAGATTTAATAAAGGATAAATAAAGTAAGTTCAGAAAAAAATTCAGTTACAAGATAGGGTGGCTAAATTTCAGTCTGGAGAAAATTATGCAAACTGATAGTGAGGAAGACACTTGTATGATACATGTTTCTGGATACAGAAAGACTTAAAAAGAATGTCTCCCAAAGGAGTAACCAATAGCTTCTTATGAATCTGGAGGCAGTATTACATTTCCTATAAGAAGCCTGCATGGTTTAAGACAGGGATGGCCCACATACTGTAACAAGAAATGATCTCATCTGTGTTATATAGAGATATTCTTTCATGGGTTATTTCTTTTCTCTCATGAAAATTAGCAGCCTGCCTTTTCCTGCCACAGCAATGAAGGGTGGCACATTACCTAGGGCCTTTGCTCACAAGAGCCTCCTTGAATAGACTGCCTCCTTATTTTAAATCCCTCCTAGAACTCAAGGTTTAGTAATGATATTTATCTGTTTGGGAAAGTCACTTACCATGGTTTGACTGTGTTTGAAACAAACTTTTTTTTTTTTTTTTAGTTTTTCAATGGTTTTCAGCATCAAAAATTTCATTGTATGCATAAATAGGTATAATGGCACCATAATTCCCCCTCTATCCATGCCCAACTTAAAACAATCAACTCTTGGCCAGTTTTAGTTCATGGATTTCACTTAACTGTTTCATCCACTTACTTCTTTTGAAGCAAATCTCAAGTTTGTCTTTTACTTCTCATGTGACTCGCTTTACTCAGGTTGGTCCATAATTTCATCAGTGACCCTTTTCAGGTTTTATATATTTACTTTGTTACTTCAGGGGCTGGAGAGATGGCTCAGCATTAAGAGCACTGACCACTCTTCCAGAGGACTCAGGTAGAATTCCCAGCACCTGGATGGCAGCTAACAACTGTCTGTAACTCCAAGATCTGACACCCTCATACAGACATACACACAGGCCTAACACCAGCGCACATAGTAGTAAATAAATTATTTTGAAAAAGTTACTTTAGTAGATGTGATGGTACACCCTTGCAATCTCAGTACTTGGAAGGCTAAGGTAAGAGAACTGCTCCAAGATTGAGCCCAGCCTGGGTACACAGACGTTACAAACAGAGCCTGGGTTAGAGAATGAGAACCTATATCAAAAATTAATGAAAAAAATTATGTCATTTTCAGTAGAATACTTTTCTTAAAGCGTTGTTGATCTTTTACAAGTCAATATTATCCACAAATGAGAAGTATTATTATACTTTGTATTTAGATTATTCGACATTTTATATATATTAATTTTGTTTTGCAGATCTTTAAAGATTATGTTATAGTCAGTATTCAGCTGAGTATTGAAAAAACACTTTGGTAATAATCATATTACTGTTTATAAAAATCATTAAGTAACTGCTTGGATTTAAGATGAAACCATTTGGACACAATTAAAAGACTTACATTTAGCTTAAAGAGAAGCTAAAATATAATATGAAGTAGACTCATATTTAAAATATTAATTATTTTAATCAATAATATTTTTTCATTAGATGAAATTCCTATTATGTCTATGACTGCTATAAAAACAGATATGAGATTTTTCTTCTTGAAAGAAAATCATCAGCAACTCTGCTCTTTGGGAAACTGGGCAGGAGGATTACAAATTTAAGATCAGTCTCAGCTACACAGGAATTGAAGGCTAGTGTAGGGTATTTAGTGAAACATTCTCTTGAGAGAAAAGGTTATATGAAATAAAATGGCTGGGGATATAACTCAGTGGTAGAGCACTTGTCTACCATGCATAAGGCCCTAGATAAGATTCTCGACATTGGGTTGGGTATGAGCCAGAGGTGGATGAAACTCTGTGAGGTGGAGGCCAGCTTGGTGTACATACTGAGGTCCAGGCAGCCAGGAATATACAGAGAGGAAAAAAATGAATCAGCAATGACAGAAAAAAAAAATCAGTTAAAAGGAATATAAAGGAGGCTCAGGTAATTGACGGAACTGATGAATGTCAGTATTGACAAATGGAAAGGAAATGCCTATGTTTAATTTTCAAAATCCAGAGTTGAGAGACTGCTCAGACATAATTTGGAAGTGAAAATGCGAGCTAAGGAGCAGACTCTCAAGCAGGATGCCTGGAAACTGTCTCTGAAGAATGAGATGTGAGCAGAGCACTTCCCATCCTTCCACCTCTGCCTGAAAAAATCTTTGTCCTCATCACTTTTTACTTACATCCCTGAACTTTGCTCTTCTTCCAATCTGTTGCCTGCTATGCCCTTCCTACCTCTTCTTAGCAACAAGCTCTGCGGCAAACTGTTTTCTTAACTCTCCACCTAGAATGTGAGTCTTATCTATGCAGCTTGTGTCTATATTGCAAGATTTCCCAAGCCTGGTGTATTCCACAGCTTTCTTTTAAAGTCCAGGTCAATGCAGCACAACTTGTCTATTTTGTTATTCTATCAAAACAATCTGAGCAGAAGCAAAGCGGATCAACACCTGCTTAAAGTAGAGATCTTCAACTTAGAAAATTTAGTTTCACAATTTAACTGAAATAATATTTTCTTTTTCTTTCTTTTTTTTTCAAGGCAAAACAATTGATTATTGCCAACTATGCAATGAAAACTTGACCCTCCCCCCTTGTCAACTGAATGTGTCCATGATTACAGATGTACCTTACCTATAATATACTTAGTCCCATAGTCAGCACGTGAGTTGTCAAGAACTTGTAAAGACAGAACCATGAAGAAGATTTTGGAGGGGAGATAGAAATGTTGAAAGTGCTTAGTAACTTGACATGCAGCTGACATATAGGTTTCAATATTAACTAAGTACTTAGTGTGTTGTTAATCTTGATTGCTTGGATCTGGAATAAACTAAGGGACCAGTGTGTGTGGGGAAATCAGAAGAAGAAACATTTCTGGGTTTTACTTGCTCATAATCCAATACATGCATTTTATTCTGATGCAAGTGTTTATATGAAAAACATAATATTTTTTGAAAAGAAAGATAGTTCCAGGCTAAGAAAATTCCCCCAAACATCAAAAGTATACAAACTAAATCAGCTGAATTTTCATAGATTATAATCTTGTCCATCATGTCCATAGGGGTAGAAGGGAGGAATACCAGTGTCAAATTGTAGAAAGCACATGATAGAAGGAATAAGGGATTTTGTCATGATCAGTACCTGTAGCCACTATAGTGTCATCTCTCCCTTGCGTGAAGATCACGGTCCTCTTCCTCTTCGAGTTCACCTTTGGAAGCGCCTGTGCCTTTTTGGCTATTTCTTTAATGTCTTTAGTCTGTTAATAAGAGGAAAAAATTCATAATCAGTAGAGTAAGGAAAAATTTTATTAACATGTTAACACTTTTGCTTCTGATGTGACCTGAGTATCTGCTAGGGAACATTTGAAACTAAATTTTTAAGCATATAGAAAATAGCATATGGGCTCCTGGGAGCCTATCATGAGCCTGGCCAAACTTTACATTCATGATGGATTTCATCTTCACTTTCAATACCTGCCATGCATTTTATTTCAAAGCAAGCCTCAGGTGCTTTATCATTTAATCTATAAATGTGTAAATATGCTACCTCTGAAAGATAATGACTAACATATCACATACATAATCATGATATACTTTAAAACATTTTGCCTGACTTATGAAAGGACCCAAGTTGAGTTTTCAGTACAAAGACAAACCCAGACTGCCTTAAACCTCCTGCTACTCAGCAGACTGTTTTTGGGTGCGGATGTTGCTAGTTGGTAAAGTGACTGCCTAGCCAGCACAAAGCCCCAGAAGTCCCCATCACCAGAAAAAAAATTTCTTATCACCAGCAAATAAATATGAGTCAAATTTCAAATTAAAGAGAACTTTAAAGAATTAATCATCATTTTTGAGGCAGAGTTTCCCTGTGTAGCCCAGGCTGTCCTGAAGTTTATGATTCTGCTGTATCTACCTCCATAGGTTGGGTTACAAATGTGAGCCACTGTGCTCAAGTGAAGCGCCTTTTTCTTTTTCTAACAAATTTTTTTTTTATTGTTTAAGATGTTTACAGAGTATGATTACACTGACTTGGGAAATAATAAAATTGAGATAATGCCAATTTTCAAAGATCCGATTGGGAAAAAGAAATGCTAATGTTACTTAACTCTAAAGATTTCATTTTGCATAGGAAAATGCATCGCCCTTTCCATCACCTCATGCTCCCCTTCTGTGCTCTCTTCTAAATCCTTGTCTACACCCAGTGCACACTTGTTTACAGATATACATAATTATACTCATCACTCGCTAAGATCTGCAGATGAGGGAAAAATCCTCCTTTTTTTTTCCTTTCTAGATCGGGTGATTTTGCTCAATTTTATGCATTCTAAGTCTATCCATGTTTTTCCTGCAAACTCTAAGATTTTATTTTCATTTAGAGTTGAAAAATATTTTAGATATATATATATATACCAGACTTTATTATCCATTAGTCTGTTCCTAGGTGTGAAGCCTGGTTCCACTTCCTTGCAAATACCTCTGTGTTAAGGTATGGAGTTTTTTGAGTATATGCTCAGGAGTGGAATAGTTGCGTCATATGGTAGTTCTATTTTTTGTCTTTGAATAATAGTTTATTCCCTTATAATTTTTATTCTTTTTATTGAGCTATAAACTTTTCTCTGCTCCAGTCCCTAATTATTTTGAGGAATCTCCAAATTGTTAAGCATAATGTGTGTACTCATTCCCCCCCACCAGCTGCGAGTGAGGGCTCTTCCTCTCCGTCCTTGCCAACATAGCCATTCTGGAGGAGGTGAACTTTAAAAATAATTATTGGCTATTTGTGTTTATTTTGTTGAAAACTGTCTATGTATTTTCTGTATTTTCATATAGAAATTTCAGTTTTCACTGGTCTTTGATCTATTTTGAATTGATACATGTCTAATGAGAAAGATATGAACCTAATTTCATTCTTCTGTAGGTGAATGTCTAGTTTTTCCAGTACCCTTTGTTGAACAGTACATTTTTCTTTTTCTGTAGTGGCTAAGTGCATAAGATCCCCAGGAGAAGTTTCACAGCTCAGAGTTGCTCTTCCAACAGTGCAGAGGTCCATTGAGGAGTAGAGTTTAGACTGGGCAGGTGTCTGCTTCAGAGGTTACATTAATCTAGCTTCATGGTGCTTTAATGAGTTTATTACAACAAAGTATCTTTTGTATTTAAAAGAGAAAGAAAAGGCAGCTAAGTTTGCAAGGTAGTATAGGCCTGTGATTCTAGGATAAGGAAGGCAGAGGCAGGAGGACTGGTATGGGCAAAGCTATCCTGTTCTACACAGTGAGTTCTAGTGCAGCCAGGACTACACAAACAAAACAAAACAAAAACCCAAGACAAAGAGAAGAGTTAAAAAATTATAAGCTAGCCAGGCGGTGGTGGTGCATGCCTTTAATCCCAGCACTCTGGAGGTAGAGACAGTGGGAGCTTTGTAATTTCAAGGCCAGCCTGGTCTACAAGAACTAGTTCCAGGAGAGCTAAGACTGTTACACAGAGAAACCCTGTCTCAAAAAGCAAACAAAACAACAACAACAAAAAAGAATTTATTCATTTTCATTTTATGTGCATTGGTATTTTGCCTGCACGTGTGTCTGTGTTAGGATGTCAGATCTTCGAAGTTACAGACAATTGTGAACTGCTGATTGGGTGCTGGGAACTGAACCTGAGTCCTCAGGAAGAGCAGTCAGTGCTTCAACCACTGAGCCTTCACTCCAGCCCTGCGAATAATAAATTAATGGTAAAATTCCATGATTTCTTTTTACCAAGTTTTTGGGAAAATACAGCTTATTGTCAGAGTTTATCAATTTAATAAGAGAAACATGTCTCAAATTTAATCTCATAAAAGTGGTAATTCAAGATCGAAATAAACTATCAAATACAAGCCAGACACTTTTCTGGATTTATGCAACCTTTATCCTTACTGTATCCACATCCACCGTTTATGGCAAATCTTTTTATTGCTCACTCTAGGACCACTGTTAGTGTGCACCTAACCCAAGTGTCACACTGCGTACATACTCAGGAGCAACTGCTTGCTTGCAAAAAATGCTTTTCCTGTAGTGTAAATCTTTTCTCAAAACCTCAATTTTTATCTTCACAACACCACAGATTATAAATCCACAGTACCTCCTCTTCATCTCCTTAGGCCCTTCTCTCCTCACACGTATGACCATGCATCTTAACTGAAAGATGTCTTTACAAATAGCTTTAGAATATAGCGAACCTATACTTATTGATAACCTTAAAAAGGTTCATAAACATCTCTAAGGCTCCATTTACTGACAAAACCAAGGAAATACTCAACTAAAAGATACTGGGGTGGGGGTGTAACTCAGAATGCATGTTTGGCATTCACAAAGTCCTGGATTCAATCCCCAGCACCAAATCTCCTTTTATGAAACTTACCATAAAAGAAAAAAAAATCAGTAATTTTATAGTGGAGAGAATTGATAAACATTACCTTAAATTATAATCAACTGATACTAAAATTCATCGACAAAAGAGGATATCCTATAACCCCAAAGAATCTTCTCTAGATTATTTATCCACTGCAACAGAAAGGAGTAAGCTACAGAGGATAAACCAATCAATACCATCTTAGCCCAGTGATCAAGGTTAACATCACCAGCAATAAGACTTAGTGACATCATTTAACCTCCCTGATATGATGAGAGGGGCACATCACTTCTATAGATTTTGTTAAAAATGTACAATGTCAATCCACTCATAAAAAAACACCAGACACTCAAATATAAAGAGAGGGACATTCTGAATAATGAATGACCAGTACGTCTGAAGTATCAAAGTCAGGGACAATGAGGAAAGGCTGAAAAACAGCCATGAACTGGAAGCAGCTAACAACACACGATACAAATGTAATGTGGTATCCTACATTAGATTCTGGAACATAAAAAGAAAAAAAACCAGCCAAAGAGATAGCTCAGCAGTTAAGGGTGCTCATTGTCAAGCCTAATGAGCTCAATTTTCAAAATCTACATGGTAGAGGGAAAGAAATGATTCCCCAAAGTTGTTCTCTGACCTCTATATGCATAGGTGAAGACCCCCATGCGAAACAAAGGAAAACCAAAGGAATCACTAGCAAGGCCAAAACATATTCTGTTTTTGTTTTGCACTGGATGTATGTTAATCTTCTGATTTGGGCCATTAAATTTTGATTATTTAAAGATGTTAATAGTAGGGCTGGAGAGGTGGTTGAGGAGTTTAAGAGCATTGGTTGCTTTTCCAGGACCCAGGTTCAATTTCCTTCACCCACATGGGAGTTCATAACTGTCTGTAACACCAGTTCCAGTGTACCTGACACCCTTGCAGAAAAAAACACCAATGCACATGGATGTAAAAAAGAAAAAAAAAGATGCTAACAGTAGGGGAAGGTAGGTGAAACACATGTGGGTTCTGTTCTGTTCTAAAACTGAAGGTATTTTACCATGAGGACAGTCAGAGCTACACAGTAAGATCCTACATTAAAAAATTAAAAATAGTTGCTGTCTCATGGTCACTCCTATAATCTCAGGATACAGGAGAGTGAGCAAAGAGGACCTTCCTGAATTCTAGGTCAGTTGGGATCCACAGTAAATTTAAGGCTAGCCTGTGCTACCAGGAATGTGATCCTGTTTCAAAAAAGAAAGAAGGCAGGATTGGAGAGTTTGCCCAGGGGTCTTACAGAAGACTCGGGTTTGATTTCCAACAGCAGCATGGAGCTGCTTACAACTGCCTGTACCTCTAGTTCTAGCTGGTCTAAAGCCATCTTGGCCTCTGCAGGCAGTAGGCACACATGTGGTGCACAAAGATACACACAGGCAAAGCACCATATACTTAAAAACAAACAAAAAACAAAGTCAGAAAAGTTGTGGAGGTGAAAGCATGTAAGTTAAGTTAGAAGAGTTTAATTTGACTGTATGCTAATGCAATACTAATTTATTCCACTTAATGACTCTCATCTTAATTTTGCCTAAAACTTTCAATTCCATAATATGCTCAAACAATCCCTAGGGAGGGCCTCAAAATTACTGAAGACTCAAGTGTAGTATCTAATAAGGAGAAGACAATAACAAGTGGATGGAGGCAAAAGACAAAAGTTCAGAGAGTTGAGCTATGAGGTATCATAGGGCTCTAAAGTGGTCCCTAATTTTAATTTCTCTATATAGAAGATATCATAATTTCCTCTATCTTACTGGCCATGCGTGGATCTCTAAAATATTCACTGGGCCTTTCTTACCCTAGGCATTTGGTCTGTCAGTCGGTCTACATCTCATCT